TCCCCCTGCCCTGGCTGGGCAGGTGGCAGCAGGGCATAGCCCCTACTCCCATCACTGCCACGCCTGCATCAGTGCTGTGAGCAGGGGCTATGCCCTACTGCTGCTTGCCCAGCTGGGGCAGGGGGGAGGGCAGGATGCAGGCACGTAATCTTGTGCCTCCCCCCGCCTTGCCTGGGCAAGCAGCAGTGGGGCATAGCCCACATGTCCAGTGCTGCCACGCCTGCATCCCACCCCCCCAGCTGCCCCGGCTGGGCAATCGGTGGCAATGCTCACATCCTGCACCCTCCTGCTGTGGCTGGGCAAGCAGTGGGCTATGCTCTGCTGCTGCTTGTCCCCTTCCGCCCAGAATGAGCTGCACCCGCATCCTGCCCCCTGCCTCAGCTAGGCAAGTGGTAGCATGGCATAGCCCCTGCTCCGAGCACTGCCATACCCATATCGTGTGCCCCCCAGCCTGGGCTGGGCAGTTTGTCCCATCTCCAGTCTCTCCCTCCCGCCTCTGCCCACCACAACGGACTTACCAGCTGGACGCGGCTGTGTCCAGCGTGGTGAGGACTGCTGTCTGTTTAGTCTATGGCCAAATCTTCAGATCTGATTCGGCTGAATCCAGTGAGGAAAGTGATTCGAATCTCCAAATCGAATCACTGCCCTTCTGAATCAGCTGAATCCGAAGTGAATGCTTGCTGCCTTGCACAGGCCTATTAAATGTTACTTTTCTGCAGAAGTGAAACCGTAAATTATGTTGTGTAATTGGGGATGAGCAGTGAAAAACTCATTTCTCAGAGAGAGTTCGCATGGGGGAGGACTTGCAAGTTATTTGTCCTTGATGATGTTCAGTAGTAATTTCTGATAATTTTAAATAAAATGTAGAAAAGCTAGCATTCACCACTGCTAACATAATTTCATGAATTCATTATGCTTGTTATACACAGTAGTAAAATATGCACAAGAGGCATCCTAAAACTCAAAAGAAGCTGTTCTGTTGAGTAACTTGTCAGAAGTATCCATGTTACTTACATCTATGATAGAATATAAGAATTCCAGGGAAGCTATTAAGAGATGTCATGTCAGCTTTTTAAAAATCTCTTTTGTATTTTAATACAAATATAATACTCCACACAAATGTGACATGGAAATAAGGATTTACCTGATAAAACTAGAAATCTGGTCATAAATGAAAATATGTCTTTAGCTGCTTTATGTTATGACTAGCTATTGAAAAATTAGGGTTGGAGACTGAGAACCAAGTCTTAAGTATGATCTCATAAGCTTGAAATCTTGAATTTAGCCAGGCATTTCTTAAATTTGATACATCTGCATTTATAAGAGCATTTAGCTCTTTAATCAGTTCATTTTCCTTTATTTTCTCCCTGCATGTCAGCTCCATTAATTTCTGAACATCTAAAGCCTGCTCATTCTTATTGTTAACCTGCTTTATATTGCCTTTACTTGTTCACTTGTCTCTTCTCCCTTCTTGTCTTCCTGCCTTCTCTGTGTTTGTGCTGTAAAAACTCAGGCGTTAGAAAGGCAGAAAGAGTTCTTTGATTCCATAAGGAGTGAGCGAGATGGCCTTAGAGTGGAGGTGGTTATGCTGAAGGAACAATTGAAGGTATGCAGTAAGAAGAGAAGAACCTCTTGTAAAGAAATTTTGTAATCAATGTCTCCTGGTGCCCATAGCAGAAAAGCTAGTTCCAGCTCTGTAATCCCAGTAAGAGCTGTATACTGATGTTGCTCTTATTCATCTCAAGTATCTGTTCACCAGCTGTTCCTCCTGTAAGAGATAACTAGGAATTTCCAGTATGCTGTCATGTAAGTTTAAGGGCTCAGAGGTTACTTCTGTTTAAAACCTGTTGTCTAAGGAATGTTTCAGATGCTGGACAACAGAGATGCATTAAAAAAAAAAATCTGATCAGTTCTGTTCTTGTGCTAAAATAGAAAATTGGGAATTTATTATTCCAGAGATATTGATCTTGGAAGCATTTTATATATTCTACCCTGCTCTGTTCTAACTGTTTCAACGAATTTTACTGAACCAGTCAGTTTTGGGAAGCTTTTGTTAATGCAGCCTCTGTTTAAAATTTTAAGGTACAAGAATGCTCTACCATTTGTATTGTATTTCTGTACACCAAACTTTCAAATATCCTTCCCTTATCCACAGAAACATGGAATAATCCCGGACTCAGAAGTAGCTACCAATGGAGAAACTTCAGATGCTTTTGATAATGAAGGACACTCAGATTCTTCCAAGATTAATCAAGGCACAACTCAGGTGCTAAACACATCTGGGGATGGGACCCTAGGTATGTGTTCACATTTTGCTCAACTTTTCCATCCATTTGATCACCTTCACCTTTTTTGCTTGGATATTGTGTTTATTTTTCAGACAATTAACCAATCACGCAGCATGCTACTTGTTGAATCACTCCCTATGCATTTTTCTGCTTAAAAGTCATAATCACTTGAAACATATCATGCAGTTTTCTTCTATACTTACAAAAGGAGACTTTTTAATATAAATGTCTTTATTCCCAAGCCCAGGGTAACAAAGGAAAATGAAACAAATACTCACAAAGTCAGTAGAAGTATTTTTTTTAACATTTAAGTCTTGAATCCAGAAAGACTTCAATACTTATAGTTTTGCTTTTGTTTTTGTTTTGTTTTAAAAACAGGGAACTCAGAGAAACAGGATAAGAGCATTTGAATTCCATATTTGTAAATCGAATGTAAAAATTTTCTAACTAACATTTGAGAACCATAAATGTCTGTTGAGCAATGGTCTAGTACACTGTTGCAAAACCCACTTTCATACACTATATCTAAATTCTACATATCCAATATTACTGTATTGCTAGCATAATGATGCAGTTCACATTGTTAAAGACTGTAGCATTCTTGCATATTGTTGAGTACAGGGCAGATATATTATGTATGAATACATAGGGAAGGAGGAATCTGATTGGCACAGATTCTGACTTTGTGATTATACAACACAGTTGCATTAATATGAACAGTAGCTGTTTACCTTTCTATTACACTCAGGAAAGAGGAGGAAATATTTAATTTTGTATTTCTAAGTTGAAGGACTGGCAAATTGCAACAGGTAGTCAACTACTAAATCTTGAAGTGGGAATTGTTTTACTCTTGGTGTAGTGGGTTTGGTTTTTTTTTTTTTTCCCCCACTTGCTCCATTTGATAAAAATGGTTCCTAACAACAAAGGGTGCAGACAAGAAGTGATAACTTGTGCTGGATCTGGCCACAGAAAGCAGTTTATAGTCATGACCAAACACAAGTGCACAGCTGCAGACAGCTTCAAAAATGGTTGATTAGATGAAAATCTGAGCCCTCATTGCATGATTGGTCAGATGAAGACATTTCAAAACAGTGTCTTCTGTAACTTCTGTCTGCCAGCTAATTGCTGTTTTCAGAATGGGGCGGGGAGAGGGAGTGGAGGCCCCCCCCCCCAATGAGGTGGGGCTGGGGACTCCAATACACTCACCCTCCAGTGCTGGCTGGGGAACCCTAGAATGAGCTCCCTCTGCTCCATCCCCCCCCTCCCATTCTGAAAATAGGGACAAGCTAGAAGAGAGGAGAGGCCAGTTGCTAGGGGAAACTGGCTGCAGCCTTCTAGCCAGCAGCTAGATTCTCTTCTGCCCTGGAACCAACAGTGAACTTCTGTTTGTTCCAGGGAGTTGTAACTCACTACTTCCTACAAAGCATTCTCACTTACAGCAGGGAGCTGCACTTTTGTCTGCACCCCAAAATCTAGGTAAGAGTACTTTGTAAATTGGGTCTGGGAAACCACCTGTTTCTTTGCCAGCCTGTACTGGTCCCCTCTCCCTCCAGTATTCTGGTTCTGTGGAAATAGATGTAACATAAGCTAACAGCTCTAATTAAGAGCTTTGTACAATACCTCCTCCTTTTGCTCCTATGTACAAGTTGGGGAGGGGGGAAGACGTGTTCCCTTGCGTGGATGCAGTGACTATAAGGAGCACCAAATACAGTTTTAACTGTTATTGGTTGTTAAATGTCCACATAGTTGGAGAATTTGCCTGCCAATCAGAATAGACCTTTCATAATGTCTGTTACACATAATATCTTTGAGGGCAATAGGTATAAAATATTGTTGAGTATTAGGTAAATTACTTGGTGGCTATATTGTCAAACCATGCACTTTTGCAATTACAGAGAAGTGTCAGGGTTTAAAAAAAAAAAAACAAGTAGAAAAATTTCTGTCCTTGTCATAATCTTAAATCTGCAAGTGTTACTGTTAATTGCACTGCTTGAAACAAAGTACCTCTCATTTATGAAAGTTGTACTTCACAGCTTCAACTGTAGCAGAATCTTTAACTTGCAAAAACACAAAGCCAACACCAGATAAAAAATCTTGCTTTTGAGAGGGTGGTGGATTTCACTGATCAGAAAACTTACTAATACAATTGCCGCTTTGCCTCACGCAATTGGCAAAAACTGATCTTTTATTAACCGATTCTCTGATTCATTCTTTCTTTTGGGTTCTAAGTGTGGAGGTAAGTGCTACCTTGTTTTAAAAAGTTGAGTAATCGCCCCTGGTGTAGTCCCTTCAACTTTCTCAATGGTCTTTTAGGCAGAACCAATGAAGTGGAGATGAAAAATGAGATTTTGGAGAATGTGGGGAAAAAGGAAATCTTGCAGAATACTGAGCATGAGCAACACAAGGAGGAGTCTGAGGAGCAGGAAATTGTAAAGGAGTATACGGAGATAAAGACCTTGCATACTGATGAAAATACAGAGAGAGAGAAAGCCACTGAAGATACTGATGTCACCTCAACAGTAATATTAATGAATAGTGGACTGGAGGAACAAACTGAATGCTATAGAGAACATGTATTAGGAAATGTATCTTCCTCTGAAAATAGTGATGCAGGTAGTAGCATAGAAATCCAGCAGCCCATTAGTTTGGAAAGTGAACATGGTAGTGACTTAAATGAGAGGACTAATCAGAATCTGGAAATGGGTACACTGCAGAGTCAGGATATTAAGGCTTCCCAAGCAGGGTGTTGTAACTTAGAGAGACAGGAATTTGAAGGAATTGCACAGCAGCAGAAAGAAAAACAGGGGGAGTTTATAACTAGCCAAAAAGAAGGTAGTGAAGCAACTCAGGAAGTTCTTGATTTAGTGGCAAGCAGCCATGCATTGGTTTCTGATCAGTCTGAACTACCTGAAATTGTAATCATAGGTTCAGCTATTGAAGGGCCATGTGTGGAAGCTCAAGTTGAAAGACAGGATCAAGCAGAAGAAAGCCCTAAAAATGAGGTTATGAGTGATGAAGGTGAAGAGTGCATTGACAGAAAAATTGATAATGTAGAGAGTGGTAGAGAGGAAGAAGAAAATAAAACCGATACAGTCCAGAATCTGGAAAGCCAAGAAATAAAATCTGTAGAAGAGGAGGAAGAAGTGTCATGTGACACCGAGGTAGTGCCAGATAATATTGCAAAGGAACAAAAAGTAGATGAAACACCAGCTCTGTCACTTCTTTCAGAGAATGATCTGCTATTAGCAGGAGAAGAACAAAGTATGGTAAGTGCGGCAGAGAATGGAATGAATATGAAGCAGAGGCCAGGACAACAGGAAGTGTTAGTGGGCAAATTGGATTCAGATTCTGAAAACAAAGAGGTACAACTTGAAAGATCTGTGGAATCTATAGACTGTATTACAGAGGTAAAAGAATCTGAATCACATAAAACAGAGCAAGATCAAGGTCCCATGAACAAAGAACAACCCCAAGAAAGTATTATAGACCCTAGTCACAGTGATGAAAAAATTCAAGGGGCAGAAGATACTGAAGTATGGTATGAATCTCAGGAATTTGAAGATAATAGTACTGAACAGGTGGAGGGTAAGAACACACAGGTAGAAGTCCAAACACTTGAATATAGTGAAGACATAATATGTGGCACAATAATAGATAATGTTTTGGAAAGTAAAATGCAGGGAGTAGCTAAACAAGAAGCAGCAGCTGCACAGGAATCTCCTGAAAATATTAGTGTAATTATTGAGGTGAAAAATGGAATGGAGGAAAACAGCAAGAAGCCAGGGCCTGCAGACCAGCAGCTTGAAACATTTCCCTCTGCGAGTACAAATAATGTTTTGCAGGAAGCCACAAAACAATCACAGCAACATACTGAAGAAGTTGGTGGCAACATAAAAGAAATGGAAGAGCAGAATACAAGGTCAGATGATATGTGTGAATCTATTAGTGAAGAGACGGATAAAAACTGGGAGGGTCAGGGAAGTGAGGAGGACAAAAATAATAGAACAGAACAGCAAAACGAGATGCAGGAAATCATTCCAGAAGCTGAGGGGGAATCAAGTTGCCTCAATAGACAGGAAAGTCAGTTAGATAAGAAGCTTAAAGGACAAGTTAATGAGGTAGAGGGTCAAGAGGAAGGAGTGGAAGATAAGGGTGAAACATTCATCTTTCAATCAAATCAGGAATTAGAAACTAGTGAAAGGAAGGATGCAGAGAAGGTTGATGCACAGAAGCTGGAAGATGTTAAAGCAAAGGAAATTGTCACAGAACCTATCAAAACAGGAGAAGGTGGAAAGGAAGAAGCTCATCAAGGCAGTGTATACAAAACAGAGAAGGAAGGCTTGTTGACTGAAGACAATGCAGATATCCAAGAAAAAGGAGAGGAATCTGAAGAATCAAATGCATCCAGATCTGAAACTGCAAAGAAAACATGTGATGTGGTGGAGGACAAAACTAAAGTGTTAGACACCGATAATACGGAAAAAATAACCAGTAACCCTTTATTAGATAAAGAGTTGGAAAGCTTGGGCACTACCAGTGTTGAAAGTAAAGAAGATATCACAGGTATTAAAAGGGGTAAGGGTAAATCTAAAGAAGATTGTATAATATCATGAGTTCATAATCTAGGACCTAAATAAATTAACTGCTCTTGGATCAGTTCCAGTACAAAATAATGCACCATGCACAGTAATTCAGACTTTAGGAACGATGATGTTTTTGTTTTGTGGTTGTTTCATCATAATAATTGTCAGTTCATAGATGCGAGTTCCATCCAATTTACTGTCATGTATCACCACCAGATATCGTATACTCAGATTTTGTTTTCTAATTTCTCTCAGGTTTCATGTTTATCACCAAGTAAGCATCATAAATCAACTTTTCAGACCAACTTGTTAAAATGTAAGGCCGATATCTTCCAAAAAAATATTTAGCAATTGTTCTTACTTTCTAGACTAGTTTTAAACAAGCTATAGGTCTTGGATGCAAAGACAACAAACAGTACAATTAAATGTTGCTTTGCTGAACATAAAGCAATATAAGGTATGCAGCACCATGGTTATTGTTACCACATTTATTTGTGAATGCTTCAGTTCAGGAACCAACTATCATTGCTAATACAAAAAGTATAATTTCACTGTGTATTATTTTAATATGGGCACATTCCAAAGTATAGCATATAGTTTATAGATGAACTGCCAAAATATATTAGTTTATACACTTTGAAAGAGCAATATACAGTTTAAGAATTTAAAGCATAAATGTCTCCACAGTTGTTAGTCTGCTGAAAGGAGTAAGTATGTATATGCTTACTTAGTCTAGGCACTTTGCACCAGAATAAGCCTTTGACCCCATGTTTTAACAGGGGCGTTCTTATCTTTTTCTAGGGAAGTTTTCTCAGTGCACACTGTGATGTGTTTTCATACTTTCTATCAAGTACATTTAGTTAATTAGGTATATTATGATACTATTTTCCTACAAGAAAGTTTAAATTGTATTTCCTTGTTGCATATTTTTGCAAAATACTATTCTGAAAGAATGTTTTCTTATCTCTGGAAGTACTTTTTCCTCCTTTCTTGCCAGAATGAAGGAAATTATGAATGTCTTAATCCTCTTGAATGTCTTAATTTTTATTGAAAAGCATCACACCAAAGATAACTGCTGTTGCTCTTTGTGTATTATCTCCTATATACCAAGCACTGAGTCTTGTGAAAAATAATGTTGCTTTTGATTTGATACTGGAAATATAAACAATTGAGATATTACCAAATCTTCAGTAATTTCTTATGTGACTATTTTAAACCAGATGAGAGGAAATGTGTTTTTTGCATAATGAAACATTCTTTTAAACTTCATTTAAGTAATGAAAAATAAAAGGGAATCCGAACTAAAGTTTTTGCAGGTCATAAAATATTTCTTGTATTGCTGTTACAAACTTAATAACTTACAGATATGTTGAAATATTTCATATGTATATCACAAATGTACTGAGCTGTATATAATTGAAATAAACATATTTTATACTTTATTATGCTTGTCCAGAGCACTACTTACAAACCTGTGTAAATAAGGATCTCATTTGATACTGTTCTAAAAGTCTATTTTGTTATAGACATTGCACAAAAATAACTCCATCTGCTTTATATACATCTTAATATCTTGAAATATTAATGTACTTTTTTTCTTACTGATAGACCTGTCTCCATGCTCTTCACTGGTGATAGAATTGATATGATTTCATTCTGCTAAGAAATATGGGCCTTCATATTTAAGAATGCTAATATGATATTGTATGAATGTCATTTTTAAACCTTTTTCCAGAGCTGCTTTCTTGACACTAACAGTAGATTCTGCACAATGTCTATGAAAATATGCGATCATAAAAACTTAGTACAAATATGTCAATATTAGGATGTAACCATAAGAATATTAGCTGGGTATGCTGTAGATCTTAAAAATACCCCTTACTGTATTATACCCTTTAACTAGGATAGAAATTGTTCCTTGCCTGACTCTCCAATGTAATGTTGCACAAATAAATATGGTTTCCATATCTGTCCATAATTTAAGAAGGATTTTATGGTTGGAAATAGAATTTATACTTGGACTACTGAGACATACCAGCACTACTTCTTCACGCTCTCCTTAGAACTTGTGTAGAACTCAATGAACTGTTCAGAACATTTAGTGCAGGGCCAGAGAAAGGTACACTGGTTCATTCAGTAGCTTGGTCATTTTGTTTTGTTCCAAATTTAGGTCTCCTCTACTTTTCAGATTTGTTGCAGCTTCAGCTGTCAGTATCCAGACATCAGTGTAGCTTGGTTTATGCTGATACATCTATCAAACACCCATGGCTGAGTCCTTTGGGCACTTGATTAAGTGCATTTCCCCTCATTTTGTATGCTATCTTGGGTTATGTGCACAATATGAGCGGGGTTCCATGCAGGCAAATCAAAGAACTAGGTTGTTAACAGAAAAAAAATGTTAATTACTTATCTTCCAGATTTTTAGAGAAATAGTACAACTTTTGCTGATTACTACTTAAATAGAGAAACAATGTGTCAACATCAGGTGTTTGTAATATATAATGCAGTTTGGAAAGTATGCACCTGAATATAAGTTTCTTTGGCATGATATCTCTGGAGTCCATAGCTAGTATATAATAAAAAGATCTAGGTTAAATCATCTTCATTTTGAATGAAGTGACAAACCAATGTTTTTTTGGAATTTTCATCAGTATTGGATTCTAAACTAGAACTTTGAAATTAACTGAGATAAAACCAGGGCTCTGCCCTTTGTTTCCTTTATCCATTCTCTGCTTGTGCAATTTTAACCCACTGCTTAGTGTTATGTCCTCCTTGAACACTTTTAAAAAAAATAAGACAGAGAGCAGCACAGAGTGCTGTTCTTTAGGTCAAAGAAGATGCTTTTAGCTCTGGAGAGTTGAATTCCTGATAGCAGCTGTAACCGACAATAATCTTATCTAGGTTTTTCATTCAGCAAAAGCAAGACAGAGTCATCTTTCAGTAAATGCAAGAATTCATGGCACAAAATAAACGACAATAATGTAGCTCATACATCAAGGATATATGTATTTTTTTCATGAGGCTTTTAAGGGTTCAGAGCTAGCCTTTGGACACCTCCAAAAACATTGGCCAAACAGTTCAGGACCTAGTAGTAGCGAAGATATTTTCAAATTCTACATAACTAACTCTCATCACTCTTCTTTCCAACACTAGTCTTGAAAATGAGGGCCTGATTATTTGCCTAAAAATACAGTAGAATTTGCGTACAAGTTGTGACTCAGGTTTTTGGTCTGGTGGAATATCATCTTTTCCAATTTCAGAATGCGATAGATAATAAAAATGATCTGGCAGAAGCACCAACTGGGCTCTGCTTTCCTTGGGTGACCAAGTGTGGGAAGAGACTGTACTCTACGGATTGTCTGCTACACTCACAGAAAAGGCTTAGTTGAACCTGTGAGTCATTTCTCTTGCCCTTCCTCCCTTCTCACACCAGGACTTCTATAGTTGATTAGGATACAAAGGAATATGTTCTTTCTGGGGAAGGGGGATTCTAGGGAGAAGAGGTGAGGTCAAAATTTGCTTTGTAAATGCAAATACCAGCCTTAACTGATCCATAATAGTGGGGGCAGATTAATAATTATAGCACAGGGGGAGGGCTTACTGAGCACTTGTCAGCTGATCTGGTATACCTGTTTTATCTCTCCATTCCTATCCTGTAGGAAGTTAAGTTAAACCACCATCATTTACCTTTGAATTAAACAGGAATTTAATTATTGTAGTTCAACTTCTTATCATGGGATACAACAGACAAATAGGTAGAGTGGCTTTAGGTGGACCATGGTAAGTCTCGCCCATCCCCACCCTTTTAAAGTACTATTATAGTTTCATCTGTTAACATTCTTAGCTAACAATGAGCTTCCATTCTGGACACTGGGAATATATTTATACATGAAGGACATATTTTGTGCTAGTGTGCTAGTGTATCTTTGTCTACATAGTTAATTTAGTTTCCAGAAATAAAGGGACTGTTTGGTGCTCAGGTTTCTTCTATGAGTTTGTGCTAGCTCCCCATTTAACTACAGATTTTGTCCTACAGTAGGCCTCATTCTTCTCTCCTCTCTTTAGCAGCTTGTTTTCTTGGTAATCTTCTGATCTTGGACACCTAGCCCCAGCTCAAGCTATGAACCTTTATATCTCCTTTCACCGTTTATGTTCCTTTAACAACTTCTTATTGTTAACCTTGGTTTTGTTTCTTTTCATTTTGTTAGCCGTGTTCCTCTTCTCAAGTCATCCAAGTATTTACACATGAATTTTTCTTATTTTGCAGGAATTTCTGCAACTGTTTTAAATGTAATGTTTTCTAGGTTTTGTTTTTCCCATGAGATTTTATGAAATTGGCTTTTCATATTGATGCCTTGGTACTATAACAATGGGTATACTTAAAATTCCCAAGAATTGGATAGGGCATGGGGAAATTCAAAATGATCAATGCTTTGATAAATTGACTTATTATGCTGCTTAATATTCAAATCACTTGAAAATTGTGCTGTTGCACTGCATCAGACCCCACAGGTGAAGGTGCAATTTCACACTCTAGAATTACTTCTGTAACAGAAATCATATGCATACAGAGTGAGGAGCTCTCACTTTATCGTGAATTTGTATTAGACTGCCATATTTGTGACTTCCATTAAAGTTGATGTTTTCTCCACGTACTATACATTGGTATCAGATAAAGTTATTTCCTGTGATAAGAATAGTATGTTAACATGGAAAAGGTCGTTTATTGTTCTATGGCATGTATAATATTTAAAAGAAAATAAACTAACCTGTTTTCATAGTTCGTTCAAGGGATAAAAAATATAGTGTTAGTCTCAGAATATATTTTTAAAGATATAATTAGTGATTTATGCAACTCTACTTTTGTTTTTGCAAATGACGTTTTTGAAGGACCTTTTTTTCCTAGGTGACTTTCACATTTCAGTAGTTAAGCAACTCCAATAGGCCACAAACTGGAGTTTCGTTAAGTGACTAGTTGAGTGCTCAGCATCAGTAGATTTGGCTCTTCGTAAATGGCTGCATGTTAAGGAAGCCTAAGTTAATATACGTGTTCTGCTCTAACACAAAACGTTGAACAACTAGAAAGGAAAATATCCAGAGTCAAATCTGTCCCTCTCGAGGGAATGTTTTTGATTCTTGTGCTTCAATGTATCTTTTTCATTTATAAAGGTCTATGTTGATGTATAATAAGGTCATTCTTGCATAAAGCATTACAGGACCTGCTAAAATGTATGCATTTCTCTTTGCTTTGCTCATATTTCAACTTCCTGTTCTCCACATTTTTTTTAAATTTATTGTGAGCTATTCTACTTGTGTGAGCTTGAGTGATGATCCATATTGCTTCTAAGGTCAGATCAAGCCCAGGAAGTTGCATGACCCAACAACCTCCCAATTTACGAGCATCCTGGAGTATGGGCATCTGAGGGACTACGTGGAGACAGCTCTTTACCAGACACTTCTTAATGAAACAAAAGATTTGCCTGTTTAATGTGTAATAACTATAATGGAAAAAATGTAACCAAGCTGTTTAGTTAGCAAAGTAATGGTTAAGATTTTAAAATGTTAAGAATGTGATCTAGTTATGATTGCAGGTATTCATAATTTCTCTTCCTAATGTTGTTAAACTGTAAAGATTTGTGAGATTTTTTGTGTTGCAGTTATGTTTGACCCTAGAGTTCTTGCATGCTAACCTAAAGTAGAAGATTAGCCTCTTTGCATGCAGCTGGGTGCTGCTACTGAAGTGACAAGCATGCTCTGTGAGAATGACATAACTTCCCTTGGCTGAAACCCCCTCCCAGTCCTGTCTGTGACCTCATTTCCTGTGGTACGTGCATAACTACCTTCATCATTACTTCACTAACCTTAACAATTCTTTCTTTGATAAATGCACTGAAATGTGTAACTCAGCTAAATCAGCATTGAAGTCTCCTTTTTTCTCTTTCAGATGTTAGACTGAAAAAACTCCTTGATGAACGAGAATCCTTAGTAGAACAGGTAATTAATACTTCAGTATTGCTGTACATCTGCTAATTCTACATGATGAGATTAAGGGAAGGTTC